AAAAACCTGCGACAATTTCCGATTTTAAGAGGGGTTTTTTTTTCCAACAATTTTTTTTGTTTCACCGTGTTGCGCGTCTGTATTACTCTTAATTTCCATAAAGCCGTAATATCCGCTATCGGCGTGCTTTGGCTTATTGTTATCTCGCATACATAGATGCAATCGAACCAAACATAATTTTTACCCCAAACAAAAAGTGACGATCATAATCGCGCGACAGCGTTTTCGTGAGAGTTTCTGTGCTTATAATAAATACATATATATATATATGGCCCAAGGTAAGCAAAACTCGATTATCATGATGTTATGATACTGTTTATGGTGTGTTGAACGTATATATGTTACCGGCATGTGTATGATATTCAAAAGCCATATCGCTGTATTCCTATCAACACTTAAAATGTATACCATCAAGGTTACAATTGTTACTCTATTGTCACGTAAAACAAGTACGAGGAAAAAGAAAAATTCCATCAAAGTAACACAATGACACGACCTCGCTACTTGAAATACTTTTTCTCTCTCCCTCCAACATTCGTACGACACACACTTAAATTCTAGTCAGCCATCAAAATATCATTTCCAATGTGCTCGACTCGAACGGTTCGAGCATATACTACTCCATACCTTGTTTGTCGCACGCAAACTTTTGTCCCGTGCACGATAACATACACCCCGATAGACCCGGAAAACAAAGAAGAAAAAAAACCATCATTTACATTTGAATGTACACCTACCCTGGTAGAAACGTTACTACATAAACTGGCTAGAAACTCGTCAACATGTTATAAGCCCATTGACGCATGTACGTAGAAACGTTACTACATAAACTGGCTAGAAACTCGTCAACATGTTATAAGCCCATTTACGCATATGTACGTTGACGAGTTTCTAGCCAGTTTATGTATAGTAATTTTCTACCAGGGTAAATATCGTCCATAAATACATATACACAAATCATTCAGCCCGCAACGTGTGTTTTACACACCCAATCGACCGAATCTACACGCAGTTGACACTTACGCATTTTTTTTTGTGTCATCGACACACGCATGTGCATGTATAAACGGTGAAATAAACAAAAAAGAAAAAGAAAAGAAAAAAAAAAACGACGATAAATAAAAAAATCCAACTCGTACGATTCCGCAGGGCTGGAAGAGCCGATGAGATGGTGGACGTTGTTCAAGCAGATGTTGATGTCCAAGCCGAACCACGAGAAGGACGTGTTCAAGCGCAACCTCGACTCCATCGGCGGTGGGAACCTGTTGCGCCGCGACCTCGGCAACGTCGAGTTGGACGGTAACTCGATGGGTTCGAGAATCAACGGGGCCAGTCGCACTCGGCGCCGCCACGTTTACCACGGGGGTGGCGGTAGCTCGCTCGACAGCATCGGCAACGGAAACCTCGTGCGGCGCGACACCCTGGTGCTGAACAACGACGACGACGACGACGACGACGACGAGCAGAATTTTTTCGACTTCTAATCATTCGCCATCCCAATTTACAATCGCACCGGCTGGATGGACAATCCTCCTCGACTGTTATACATGCAGCTGCTCTACCAAGAATATCATTTTTTTTACGAATTTATTTGTCACTTTTTTCTTCTTCTTCTTCTTCTTCTTCTTCTTTTCTTTCATTTTTTTAAAGCAAATTGTCTAGGCATTAAGAAACAAACTATAATTTATTATTTATTACGTATATATTATTATTATTACTATTATTATTATTATAATGTAGCATCCAAAGTATTTTTATATTTAAAGTTTAAGGTGTACGAATAAAACAAAAAGTTTATATATATTTACCCACGCACAAGCAAAATACAATGTGTACGTACAAGTACGTGGTTGTAAATTACATTTCTTGGACCGATCGACCCTACCTACATGTGTATATATAAATTACAATAATGATATATATATATGTGGAAATTAAAGACGTGTGCGTATTATTTCACGCAAGAATGTGTGTGTATGTTTCGACAGGTATCGCTGCGTACATGGGGAAACAAATGTCGAGAAATCCGCACGGCGATAACGATTTCGGTCTCGGACGGGCCGAAAAATTGTTTCAACAGAGGTAAATACGGCGCATGCGGCATGATTTGTTGTGCACCCGCGCTGTTTTATTTTTTTTCGCACGAATTCCAGCCATGCCCTGAATTGTCTTATGTGCATGATCAGAAGGGGGGAGACCGAGTAAAGGTGGATTATCGTGCAAAAATATTTTCAGCGCAAATGTATTCGAGAACCGACAAAGTTTGTCGACGCGTCAAAAGTGAGTCATGAAAATATAAAGACCATTTCCGGTGCTTGAGCCTCGCTGTATATGTGTGTAATGATAGCACCCTTACGCGTTACACGTTGCACGCATGAAAGGGCACAAAGTAGTTTTAGATGTTGGACACAAGAAAATAGTCGCCCACTGGGTGATGGGGGAACAAAAAAGAGGGAAAAAAATCTCGTCAAAGGCGTGCCACTCGAGTACATTACACCCGCCCGCAAACACGCTGCATTCGATTTTGTTTACTGTTTTTTTTTTTTTTTGTTTTTTTTGTCTGACATAGCAAAATTGCAAGTATATTCGTTACACGAGATACGGTTTTCGGAAATATTTACCGTCGCTTGATTTTCCCAACGTCATGATGTACGATAAATATACCTATACTCGCTGCGATGATGACACGTATAATTATACCCATAGATTTTTTTTCCCACCCAAACATTTCTTATCTTTCGGTTTGCTAACGTTTCTTGGTTGCCCTATTTTTAGATCTCGTAAATATCGAATGCGTATTTTTTTTTTTTTTTTTTGTTGCGTGTGTTTTATCCCAGATAAAAGGTATATTAAATCCATTAGGGTGTAACTTATACATCAGACGCAATGATGACGTTGATTTCGTTGAGTAATTTAGTGTTGCTGGTGTGCGTATAAATACCAATAGATTATTTGATACTCCCGGTAATGCGTTGCTTCGATAACTAAAATTGTGCATATGTAATCAAAAATTATGAATTTGCTTGTTTTTTTTTTTAAAGCACGAAGGAGCCATGTTATTGCACGATTAAATTATGGTTTTTTTTTTTTTTCCTTTTTGCTTCGAGGTCCAGGGAATCGATATTATCCGGTTTCGAAATATCTTTCCATACAACGAAAGTTATTCTCCTCACTGCAAGGTCGACCCCATGAGTATCGTGCGCTTATAGTATAATACATGTGCCATCGCACGCGCGCTCTCGAGTGTATATGCTCACGATCGCATAAATCTCTTTTCCAAGGGAAATGTAAGCTATCTGTACTTTTATTGCATGTTCCTGGAGTATATTTCACATCGCTCCCTTTATTGATTTGCGTTACGATGTTATGCAAAATTTTTTTTTTTTTTTTCCAAACAAGAGGGAAAAATACATACCTATGCACGTGATCGCGAAAAGCAAAAAACCTTTGTCACGTTCGAAATAGAAGCTGGAAATGTATTCCGAAAATAAATTCTTTGCTCGCGTATTGCAACAATAAGTACAACAAAGTTGTAATTTCCGGTCCGTCGTTCGCGCAGTATGTACTTTGGTACCTTGAAATGTCTCTCTCTATACAATATGTCATCCGCTAAATAAAGTAAAAATGTTGCCTAATTGCACTTTTTGCATCAGTGTTGCCTTGCACGCCAAATGTCTTGGCTTTTATCGAACCCACTATAAAAATCGTATTGATGTACGTATATATCAATACAAAGAGGCAAATAACATGTGTTTCGTGAAAACAGAAAAATCGAGTTGCCGAGTGGAGGTGGTCCGTACACCGGCCAGCTCATGCGGATGGAAAGCCGAAAGCGAAACTTTGACGAGATCGACCGCGACTCGGGTTTCTCCGGGTTCAGCAGGAAGCGCACCTTCGACGAAATAGACCGGACTGGCTTCCCGAGCTTCAACAAGCGCAACAACCTCGACGAGGAGAGCGACCGCAGTTACTTTGACGAGCACGTCAATCGGCACCAGCTGGTGCGTTAAGTCGACGGCTAAGGGACGAGAACAACCAAGCTGGCCAACAAAATCGACGGAATTTTCTGTAAAGACCTACATGTATAACACTATATATTATAAATGTACTCACACGTAAATAATTCAGCAAAAGAGAGAGAGAGAGAGAGATTCACTGTATAGCCGTCGCAGAAAACAAAATACTCCAAATGAATATAACAACAATTATGTCCAATGTATTTGAACATTTTTTTATTTTTTTTTTCACTGTAAAGTTTTCTTTGAAATGGGAAAAAGTAGCCGCACGCAAGGGGAGAGATAATAATTTATAGTCGAAATCAACGAGAAACACAGAGATGGCTCACAAACATATTTTTCCACACAAACGGTTCGCGACTCTGGTTTGAAGTAACCTAGAAAATTTACAACGTCTCCCTACATAGTATCCGCGTGGCTGACGGGTTAAAGAGTATACCATGGATTCAAACTTGGCACATCCAGGGTGGCCGGAAGCCGATGGGTTTGGACGCGGGCGCAAAATTCTGCTCGCCCAGGAGCGAGACCACCGGCACGATTCCGGTTTCGGGCGAGCGGGGCTTTCCCTGGGAGCGGTGTATCTCGCTCCTGACTTTGACCGCGGGGCTGGAGGGTCGGTGCGAGCGCGGTTTGCTCGAGATCGGCTTGGGGCGTTCCTGCGGACCGACTAGTCCAAGAGCAGCCGGTTCTTTGGCCAGCGCGACCTCATGGCTGCGCGCTGACTTTGGCAAAATCATCTGCTGGGGATGGGGCTGCTTCCTCATGTTGCGCAGGATCTGCAACACCTCCTCGTTCACGTCCTCGGGAGTCGCCACCGTTGCGTTTTCCTTGTTGTGCTCAAGTCGGGCCAGCTGTGGTGCGGACATTCAGCGAAATAAGCCCCCGAGTACCGCGCCTCTTTGAGGTGGTAGTTTTTTTTGTTTTTTTTTTTCACACGTAAGTACATGTATAGTATGTATACCTCGATTATTCCTTCCTCCAGCTCGGCGAACCTCTTCGAGGCGGAGGCGATCTTCGGTTCGAGTTTCGTCAAGTTGTGAGTTAGGTATACTTCTCGCTCGACGTCCGACTGCATCTGGCAAATTTTTGATTCGAAAAGACTTACGCTCGATGTACGCTCAAGAGTAAGGATGTATTTAACAACTCGATTGGATTTTTACCTCTTTTATCGCTTCCGACACTTTCCCGCTGATGTACTGCAAGCTGAAGCGCGACTGCTCGACCTATACACGGCAGTAACTTATTTATTTAGAATTCCGTATGACTTTCCATCCTGGGTTTTTAAATATATACATGCTCACCAAGTCGTTGTACTCTCGTACATCGTCGACCAGATGGCGGTGAAATTTCATCGCTCGAAAGAACTGCAAGCGATATAAGTGGTCATATTGAATCGAGGCGATGAAAAATAATAAATAACCTCTTGTGTTTTTGCGAATAAGCTACGACCCATGTAGCGCAAACAAAAATAAAAAATAGGACATGAATCTTTACTCTTTGTAGCGTGTAAACAGCCAACGACAAATTTGCCACGACGAAGATGAAGCTGTTGAAGAGCCGCAATATCAAAAACATATCCCTTGTTTCCGTTCTACGTCGGGTTATTGTTTGACCTTTGCTGCCGACGATGCCGATGTTTCATATCAAATGACGACTCGTACTTTCGTCGAAATAACCGATTAATAATTTTTGGCAATTTATTCTGGCACTGATTATAATTTTGTTCGTTTGTTTGTTTTTTTTTTTTTTTTTTTACTTATTTATTTGTTGTACTTGTATTGAGCTGTCATATTTGCATGAAAATTATTGCAACCGGCAGCCATAGTTGAATCGACAAATCGACAGTCAAATGCTTTCCAAAACTTGCAAGCTTTTACTAAAAGACTAAAAGTATGTATGAATGTATATATGTGTTTGTTACTATCAGATTGTCATGCTGAATCAAGTTTAAAAACGTAATTTCACTCACAATAGAGTTGAAGACGTGAATGCTAAAGAAGGACCGAAGCAGCGGAAAAAAGCTTCAAGGTTGACTGTTTCGCCGCTTGCCGCGCCATCAGCGCGGAGCACGCTGTCAACCAATAAACACTCCTGTATAGATATACAAACCAATAGGAGTGCTATTGGATGTATTTGGATTAGTAAAGTAAGTAAATCGTGAGTGCTCCACCCGTTTGCGTACGCGTTGTTTGTTTATTTAAAGTGCACCCTCATGCGTATGATATCCGGGTGTTAAACGCATGTTGTGTCGTCTGATCGGACAGTGCACGCGTTTTCGTATGTTACACTCCAGCCTTTTCCTCTTTCCTGCATTAGCGAAAATATGCAAAAATATGAGAAACTCGAGAAAATAGGAGAAGGTAAGGAGTAGTTTTTTTTTTTTCTTTTTATCTTGGGTGTTCCTGGTGGCTTTGTCGTCGGGCTTCGCTTAGCTGCAACATCCTATTAAAAAAAGCGTAGTGCCTCGAAGTGTCACTTAATTGTTGGTATATTGTTTTGTGCAGGAACTTATGGCACAGTGTTCAAGGCAAAGAACCGCGAGACCCACGAGATAGTCGCCCTCAAGAGAGTTCGACTCGATGATGACGACGAGGTGACAAGCAACCACTGTTTCTGACAACCCCTAGTGCCCTTTGTCCAGTTTTCCTCATCGATTTTTCTCACCCTCTCACCCCTCCTTTTCCTCTATCCATTTAGATAATAATTTGACTTTTGTCCATCCAGGGAGTTCCTTCCTCGGCCCTCAGGGAGATTTGCTTGCTCAAGGAATTGAAACACAAAAACATTGTCAGGCTGTACGATGTGCTTCATAGTGATAAGAAGCTCACCCTAGTCTTTGAACATTGTGATCAAGATCTTAAAAAGTATTTTGATAGCCTCAATGGTGAAATTGATTCTGATGTTGTCAAATCATTCCTGTAAGTTTTCACCTTTGTTTTACTTGCTATTCTCTTCAGTCTTGAAAGCTACATAATTAATTTTGTACCAGGTATCAGTTGCTCCGAGGACTGGCATTTTGTCACAGTAGAAATGTCCTTCACAGAGATCTCAAACCTCAGAACTTACTCATCAATAAGGTATGATAAGTAAATAACACATTTTTTCGTTTAAACCTCAGCCATGAATTTTTTTTGTTTTGTTTTTTCAGACTGGTGAGTTGAAATTAGCTGATTTTGGTTTAGCAAGAGCTTTTGGCATTCCAGTAAAGTGTTACTCAGCTGAAGTTGTGACTCTGTGGTACCGTCCTCCCGATGTTCTCTTTGGAGCAAAGCTTTACACTACCTCTATAGACATGTGGAGTGCAGGCTGTATATTTGCAGAATTAGCCAATGCTGGCCGACCTTTGTTTCCTGGTTCAGATGTAGATGATCAGTTGAAGAGAATATTCAAAATGTTAGGCACACCTACAGAGGAAACGTGGCCAGACATAAGCAATCTTCCAGATTATAGACCATTTACGCAATATCATCCCACTCAAGGATTAACTCAAGTTACACCAAAACTTTCTGTTAGAGGAAAAGATTTACTTCAGGTAATTTTCTTGATACACACTCTTGTAATTTTTTGTTTCTAGTAAAAATAAATCCATCGCATGAGTCTCATTAGAGGAATTTTTTTCATCAAACAATGAATAGAGAATTTTTTTTCCTTTACAGAGACTACTTGTATGCAATCCAGCACTCAGATTATCTGCAGAAGAAGCAATGGCTCATTCCTACTTTAATGATTTGAATCCTGCCATCAGAAATGATAGATGCTAATATTATTCAAACACTGATTAATAGAGCAAGACCAAAGTTTATGTGGTAAATAACATTTTATTTTATATAAATATAAATACACAATCAATTTGTGGCGACAAACAAAATATCACGTTCTATGTTTATACGATATTTCGAAACAATCTAAATCTAAATATCATGTATATAAATAAATAACACTGTTTTAGTTTAACGTAAAATTAATATCTTAACATGGTATTTTTAGTTCATAAAATTATATCTTGTATTATAATTACTTATCAATATTTTAAATTTTAATTGGAAATGCATCGTAACGGGTTTTTTTTTATCTCATACACAAACAACAGTTCCGCAGTAGATTAAACTAAAAAAAACTGCTATAGTTTAAACATAGAGCACAAAAATGTAGAAAAACAATTAAAGATACTACAGAATAGAATTACTTCAAGTTTTACATAGCATCAAAATGAAATCTGTGTGCTTCTTGTAATTTTTCAATTTTGTCCTCTCGCCTTTCCTTCCAGTACAGAGCGGCGATAATAAGGGTTATCAGTCCGCAGGTTCCTGTCAATGCAGCTGCACTCTGCAAAATCAGCTTACTAGGTGTAACAAAAAGCTGCACTTTCCACTTTAAAGGATCGGACGGAGGATACGGTATCACTACCATTTGGGAATTGGGAATGATTTGTGTCCAGTCCCGTGATTTGTTGGACAGCTGAAAACATCACATCCACGAAATAAAAACATAAATCCACAGACCCACTAATCTTCCTTGTTAGAATATTTAGTTGATAAAAATAAGATATTTTTATATTAAACTGATTAACACCTTCATCAGTTTTTCAAGTATTCAATTAAGTTTTTAACATCAAAATATTATCACAATTTAAATCATTTAGAAAAGTAAACGCTTTCTCAAAAGTTACAATTTTAATAAATTTATCTTTCTGCCTTAAATTTCTAATTTGTGCAACCAGGATAAAATTTTCAAAAATCGTATAGCTCAATTGAATTTACAACTAAAAAATATATCAAGTATCTGTTAATTAAATGATTTTACTGTCCACCAAAGACAATATTTTACTTTAAAAAAAAAAATCAATTATGTCGTGAGCTGTGAAAATATTTAAAATGATAGATGCCAAATAAAAGTTCTACAGTTAAATAGTATTATTAAAATTTTACATATTTGATAAATTAAAAGAATATGCTGCTACAAAGTAAGTAATACAAATACTTTTGATGAAGAATAATTTTTCTTTTTTCTACAATATTTGTATGATTGCTAATGTACAAAATTGAATCTTATACACTTTTCAGCAGTCTTTTATGTCAAAAAATTTTGTGAGTGAAGAATAATCATAAAAACATCTTCACTTGTACTTAAATATTATATAAATCAATAAATTTAGACCGACTACAATTTTTCTTATTTACATATTCCTCTAATAAAAAAATGAAATGACGTTTGATAAAAAAATACTATAAAATAGACAAAAAAACTTACCCCAATTGTTAAAGAATCAATAAAATTTGGTGTCCTTCCCAAGCCAAAAATAGTGAATGGTAAATTCATAGCGAAATGTGCGCTTTGCGGCAACTGAGCAGCTATAGCGCTTCGTGGGCTACCATCTTGAGTTCTAGTTTTGTAAGCAATTGATGGTCCAGGCAAATTTGTTCCGTAAGTTCGCTTTTTCTTACCAAGACTGCCAGCTGATATAGGATACAAACTGTTTGTTCTTCCCGTTAACACCATTACTTTGACAAAGTTAGCATCATAGTCGAGACTATTTTTAAAGGCAGCGGTTCTAAAAACTTCATCATTGTCCTTAAGTACGAAGATCACATCTAAAATACCTGCAAAGTAATTAAAGCACTTGTCAAAAGTTGTTAACAGAAAACAATTTTTTTGATGCATGAAAAACTTACCATCTTGGTAAAAGTCGTAAAATACTGCCATAACACTGTCATTGTTATAAAATGGATTAAGGGCATTCCAGCGCACTTTAAAAGTGCGATTGAAACTGCCGCGACTGTCGGTAAAAGTGTTTTCAAGTAGAAATGAGCGGGTCGCACCACTTGTAGTAGATTTTAAAGTGACAAGCAAATCTGGGTACCCATCCATGTTAAAATCACCACCTCGCATTGTTATGGTATCTATATATCTTTTCCCGGGGGTATGAGCAAAACCCCATTTCGTATTAGTGTTATCTACAAAATTAACTTTCATATCTTCCCATTTGTCATTCAAGTATACATAAATGTGACTATCTTCACAATTTACGTCTTTGCAAACAGGTAAAATTAAATCTATTCTATCCATTAATTCTATATCCAAATAAAGAGACTGGCCAACTACAATAAATTCTGAAATGTCATAGTCACGGAAAAATTCAAATCCACTTTCTTTGCCATACCATAGTTCAAGACTCTTGTTAGTAGTTACAACCAGATCAGGTAAAAAATCATTGTTCAAGTCCAAAAATGCATTAGAATGAGGCATCTTTATTGATCTTGAATCTAAAAATAAAATCATTTTAGTTAGAAATATATGTATATTGTAAATAAAGCAAAATAGCAGTTGTAAACCTTTTGTTGGCTTCATTTTTATGGGGGTTACCGTCCTGTCATTATTAAAGATCCAAAATTTACGAGTGTTATTAATATCAGATCCAAAAAGATCGATAATCATATCATGATTATAATCAATTGCCAATGGCTGTCCCTTCATCTCCAGCACCACTACTGTGGCATCAGTGCAATTCAATGGGTGATCTCCACCCCAAAGGATGTAAACATCTGTAAGCTTATTACTTTTCTTACTCCGAGTAGTGACCAGTATATCCATAAAGGCATCTCCATCAAAATCTCCGGGCACAACACTCGTAACAGGTAAATCAAATCTACAGCTGTATCCTTTTCTTGATTGCAGCAGGGGTTCTTCATTGGAGGCAAACATTACTTGCACTGTGGTGAGATTTTTCAACACAAACACATCGGTGAGTTCATCTGAGTCAAAATCGCCAAAGGCAGCTGGCATTCCATCCAAATCTTTTCCAAAAACAAGTGAGGTAATGTCGCTACCTTGCCCCAGTGCCACCAAGGCACTGAGCAAAGTTAAGATTTCCAACAGTTTCATAATTTTTGCTATGTCACCTAAAATGTTAGAAAATGCCATCACAAGGAAAATTGAAATAACTTAATCATCACCGACTAGAGTAAACATTATTAATGATTTATGACAATCAAAGTACATGTTTATTATAAAACAGTTCACAAAAACATAGCATGGATAAGTTATATTTTCTTGAGGAATTGAAGGTTATCTACAAAATGGTGCTTAATATTTTTTGTTAAACGCAATAGCAAGATTATTCGTAACACTGTTTGCAGGTACGCACCATTTGAAACAAGGCAATTATTATTAAACTAGAAATATTTATCCACACTCGATAGGCTGTGAAGTCATCCTTTTCCAATTCTGACTGTACCAATACCTAGTGCACTTGTTCTAGGTTGACAATTGTTTATTGAAAGTTCCAAAAAGTATGTACACACTAAGTAAGTATACTCATGTTATACTTATTGTGCTGATTTAAGAATCAACTGTCAGTATTGTCACTACTTGGCTATATGGAATATGACTCACTTTCAGACGAAAACAGCTTATTCCTGGGTCTCGGATATGGTCGGCTCTCATCGGTAACCAGCACTACTAGCGCTAGGCTAGTGCATTTTATCTCTCAGGGGTCTTATTGAGTTCTTCGATATGCGCAACAGCTTTCGAGATTTACTGTCATAATATACCTTTGAACATCAAAAAGTTAACTTTCTATTACATTTTCGTCATAAGGTTGGTGGTGTGACGGTAAATCTCGAACCGTATTGCGTACATCGAAGCACGCAATAAGACCCCAGATATCGCACATATATCGACAAAGGGCCGCCCGCATCCCGCCGGTCCGCAGTGTCCGCATTCCGCGCATTCCGCGTCTTTTTTCTCGAGTTTTTTTGAAAACTTTCGATATATATGTACCGACGCACTGCATGCTGCTCATTTCAGAGCGAACAAAAGGCGCGCGCGTGTATGATGCCAAGAACAACAATAACAAACAAACAAAAATCCGAGTATTCAACCCACTGGGCAGTTGGTTTAGGAACTGGCTGGTAGAGTGTCAAAAAGCAGCTTGTTATTTGACGAAATTTTGGAGAGGATAGAGTAAAAGTGAAACGTGAAGGCAGGTTGAAAAGTAAAAAATCTCTTCTAATCAGTGCTGTGTGTGCAGGCTCTAGCAGATTAATAATTTGGCAACTATACGTTGTTATCCTGCCAAATAACGTTTCGATCAGAGTAATGTATAAGTAGGTAGAAGTAGAATGAGATTTCAATTTTATTATCTAATAGATTTGTTCGATTAAGGTGTTCAGAGCGCTTCGAGCAACCTCAGAACCATTAAGGCGTGTACTAATATTTAAATTGATGATTAAACGATCTTCTAATGAGGTTCGCAATCATAAATAATTATATGAGTATATAGTTTGTTCGAACTTTGAAGATATTTTAAATTTTACTATATTTACTCTCGACAGTCTCGACCATGTAATACCTACAGATACTTATACACCTGAATAGGTCTTTGTCGCTTGGGACCTTGGGAGAGTTGGGAGAGCGCTCTTAAGTTAACAGTGTTGAGTCAATACATCCTTAGTCTAACATCATATAACTGTTAAGTACTTGTTGAACAGTATATTACTTGGAAGTTTTTCTTCTTAGAATAAACGCTTATTATTATAATGTATCAAGTCTTAACTTGATAGGGTAATTTCAACATTTATAATTTTTTACATTTCTTACCAACGTACGTTTTACTTTTTACCTAAATTTATGAATTAAGTATTCACAGCGTGACGTGCGCTTGAGACTTGAGAACACATGTGGATCATGTCATGCGTCGCTTCTTTCTCGGTTTTTTCTTTGTTCAATGTATATGTGAGAGAATGTGCGTGACACGTATCTATGTATATATGTTGTATATGTATAGATCAAATATACAAATACAGTGCTGTGGGAATTCTCGGTTATCGCATCGTCTTATTCGTCTTTTTTTTTTTTCGTGACAGTGAATAGAAGGAGAAGGAAGGAGGGTGCCTTGCCTATTAAAAAGCTGTAAGTAGTATACCTATCGAGACTACCGAAGCCCGTGCATGGATTCAAGGAAGAATAAATGTTCAGGGGTTTCAATCGTCGCAGTACCTTAAAGTAAAAGAGCTGAGCTCGAACAATTGAGAATATTGAGATCCGAGAGGTACAAGTTCGCGTCAATCGAGGATGGGCAGAGAAGAAGCCCACGTCGAAGAAGCGGAGACGACGACGACGAACAGCTTAGTGCTGCTGGTATGATGGGACCTGGACAAAAGCCAATCCGGAGGACAACTAGCACGACGAGCACAAGAACATCGACGACGACGACGACGACGACAAATTCAGCAACGGCTTCGGCGACGAAGACGCCGACGAGCGCCGCTGCCTGTAAGCTCATGTTTTTTAATTTTTTTATGTATTTATTGCTTCCTAACCTCGATGATGCACCCAACACCGCATCGAGTGATCGAATCAGTTGATTGACAAAATTTCAAGCTCGATCTTACTGATTGATAAAAAAGACAGTACCCCTTTTATGTACCAGGTTTGATACCTCCTTGATTTGTTGGAAAATTTTTAACTTTTGGTATGTGTTTTTTTTTTTAATTTAACTGTGGATATTGTGTGTGATGAGGTAATCATTCCAAGGTATAGCCATTATTAGAGCTTTATCGATAGATGATCATTATGTTGCTGTTGACAATTTGCAATGAAAGTGCGGGAATTTCAAGTTCGAATTGTACGTTGCCTAAGTATGTCTTTTGATACGTGTTCTTGTAACTTTAATTTGATCCATATACTGTAACTTTGGACAGAGCATACAGATTTAATTATTTTTCTGCATATAATATTGACAGATATATTTTTTTTTTTTTTTGACATACCAAATCGGTACTTATCGTTCTACATACAAATAAAAATATGTATAAACAGGGGAAGTCCACTGCAAAGTACAATTTTTGTGCTAATCTTAGCATATAATTTCAGTAGTTCGGATTCATAGAGGACCTAAACCACTGGAGGGAAATCAATTTTACTTGGATATAAAGAACCACGCTCTTTCTTCCAAGCTAGAGGCTAAAATCAAGGATCTCGGTGGGGTGAGTTTCTAAGCAGTTATGTAATGTTACTTCTCTAAATTGTAATGTTTGCTATTTTCATTTACACAAATTATAGTGTTAATTCAGTTTCAGCTTGGTAGAAGGTTCTTGCAAGAATATGTTTTTGTGACGTGATTGAAATAGGTTTTGTTAAAAAGAATTACCTTTTAAAAGTTAGACACGTAGGGGAAAAAAATATGATTTGTAATTGGATTTCTCGTTTGACTCATTTACATGTTAATATTATCAAGTCATTTGATTCATAGTTGACATTTGATTCTATTGAACATTATCACGTAACAATCATATACTTAGTTAACAAGCACATTTGAATTATTGTTGTTTTCCATTATTAATGTAATATTAATAACGAAAAACATTTAATCGCTTATTACTTTGTAAGAAATTATGACTTTTCAGTCAGTAAAAGTTAGAGTAATTTGAAAATATAACATGTACACCGGAAAAAAACGAGAAGTTCAACGTGAGGTACCAGTTGGAGTTTTATTAGTCAAAATACGCGGAAATCTAGTTCTGTGACCAACCGCCTATTTTTTTTTTTAATTTTTTTTTTTTAGCGTGAAAAGAAAGTTCTGTCTCAGAGCATTGGCTGTAACTCAAGTTTGTAAGAAAGATAGAGAGAAACCGCTTCAAGAAAAAACAGAGTCAGAGCTGGCAGCTCTCCTACCTCGTCCTTCCTAGCTCTGAAATTCTCTCAGAGCGCGCGCGGATGAATCGACCACACAAATACACGTCCAAACCATTACGCGCGCGGGTTAATGGGCAACGGGGCGAGGAAACCTTGCTGGACTAGGCGCTTTGAGATGTATACATGTATATATGTATGCGTGTATTGTACAAACAACATATATATCACAGAGAGAGAGAGAGAAACATGTACACATATCGCACCTACGTTAAAGCCAGAAAGGGGGTATATGCCACTATGCGTGCTTGTTGCCAGGCTCGAGGAAAAAAAAACGCGCGGGGGACTACGCCCTAAATTCTCCCTCGACTAGCACGAAAACCATGTATATCAATGTGACACACATGAGTAAATGAGATAGAGAGAGAGAGAGACGCCAGTAACGAAGTGCAGAGATGTTTAGATAATGCAATTTTTTTCAAAGTTCTATTGACGCTGTACCGATGCATGTTTAAGCATACTGATCTAGTCGTGTTTATGAACTGAGAGAGAAGCACTGTGTAAGAGAGAAAAGGAACGAGAAGCACACACACAAGTCCTCTGAGTCAAAAAACTTTGTTCCCGACGTTGCCAGCTATATCTTTGAAGCGGCGGCAAGCTTCAAAATTTCGAAGCGCGGGCTTTACTTCACGCAAGAGTTTATATTTCGTTACAGAAGGGAAAACGTTCTCCAACCATATTCCGATTTGTGCTCTCTATCTTTGAAGTCGAATTCCATGAAGCATATTTCACGCGTTAAGTTGCTAAACATGAGCTAGTAGCTGTAGGCAGAGTTAGGAAATTCGCGCACGTAATCTGTTTGTACATTCAATGTAAAATGTTTCGTGTCGTTGTGCATTAGCCTCGAATGGTACGGAGCGCGTTTGAGTAACACGACGTGTCCTTTTTTTTTCTTTGCTCTGCCAGCTACACAACTCTTTTCACAATCTCTCGTTTCGCGAACTATAGTAGCCAGCTAGCGACGCAGAATTTGATGCGCTGCTGGCTGAAGTATTATAGATCCCCCTCAGCTGTGGCTTCTACTGTTGATGCGTTTAGCTCGTTGTATGTTCATGAAGCAGAAGTCTCCAGAATCAATGTGCTGTTCAATGAAACAACGATCCCTCATGTGCATTCCAATTCTGTAATCGATGCAAAACTCAAGTTTCAAACCAGTACATGGTAGAATTTGTTTTCTTCTACTTTTTTTTTTTTTTTTCCAAAATATCGATTAAAAATACGAGTTGGATCAAGGAAGGTAAGGGGGAGGAGAATGAAGCCGTGGAATTCCAATCGATCCGGCAACGTCGCCGTAAATACGCTGCTGCTGGCTTGCGCTCCGGAGCATCATCAGCTTGCTCTTCCCGCTCTCATCTCTCCTTCTACCTCTTGCTTCTCTCTCTCTCTCTCTCTCTCATTCTTCGTATGCTCTTTTCTCCCCTTCATCTCATTCGCCCGCTATGCTATGGGTCTCTGTGTTGACAAACAACCCTATACTGTATGCTCATATATATACAGGCAAGAAGCCGGCAGATAGACGACGGTGAAGTTGTTAGCCAAGTCGCATGTGCTCCGCGGCAGCGCCACCCAGTGGACGCGCCAAATAGACGTCAAAATCGAACGCATACCCAGTTATGAACCTTATCAATCCATTTCTCAGTGTAAATCTTTGGCTTCAAGTCATCATGTAGCTCCCTTCCAATAAAGACCTTTGACAGAAAAAATCAATCGCGTTTCAGATACATTGTAACCAAGAAATATAAACCGAGAAGTATTTGTCGGTATTTGTTTTACAGTAGCAACAACAGCAGCATCAGGGTGACTGCTTTGTACTGTTACTCTACCTTGTATATACACCACTGTGTGCAGTAAAATTGATGGTTGTAGGGGCGGTATTGTTATGTATTATCTCTATGAGGCTGATGCAGCTCTGAAAAATCAGTAGGCCAGGTAACATTGGCTTGGCGGGGGTGTTAAAAGGGGCAACAGGCCAACAGAGGGGTAAGAGGTAGGGACGCCACAGCGCGGCGCCCGAGGCAAGCTCTTAACGGCGTATGGCCATTTTGTGCGTGACAGTTCCTGGGAGTACTTCGTTCGTGCTGCTCCGTAATCGCTTGCTCCACTCTGTAACTTAGCTTCTCTCTTTCTCTCTCTCTGGTGTTTGTTTGTGTGTGGGTGTGTGTGTTTGTACATATTTATCTGCATACAGTGTTTTTGTGTGATGTACGTACAAATATTGTAGTTATTCATCACTTGAAGCCAGTATTATACCTAAATCAGCTGAACCTCGACAACCTGGACAGCAGGACGACGCCGTTGGATACGAGTCAAGTAACTGGAAGGTGCAATGACTGTTGCCTCGTTTCGTGTACCAACATTTACCGTAGAGTTCCAAAGAGTCGTGTATGAAATCAGGATCGATTCTGTGATGAAAGCAACACAGAAGCGGCATCAGCAGCAGCACAAGTAGCCACGTATACGAGAGGAAAAGAAAATCTTTCTGGCAGAGAAGAAAAGCTGCAAATGTATTTCTTCCTCCTTTTTCCTCTGTCCTCTTCTCCTGGTTGTTTCGTTTGTATTGTCTACCTAGTTGACAATTAAGAACAGCCTTTGGTTTCCTCTCTTCATCTTCTCTCCCTTGATGAAAAGTTATTCCTCTCAACCCACAACCGTGTGGTGTGTATGCATGTGCCAGTCAGCGCGCGCCCATCTGCTCTTTCTCTTTATTTCTTTCTCTCTCTCTCTCTCTTGCTCTACTATGCACTGTGTAGATACATACAGTGCTGGTGCTGTGCAGTTTTGTACTCTGATGTGTGGCACCGTTCCGTTTACCTCGGCGTTTTGTATGCTCAGTTGCATAGGTGTACACATACATACCTTGTATTTACGCCAGCAGCCAGCTAGTGTCGACGACATCGCCGTCGTCGTCGTCGCCGTGATCGTTCTCTTGGCACACACATACAGTTGTAGTACCCTAACACGAATGGAAGCAGAGAGCGCGAGACGGGATCGGGAGGGGGCCACGTGACGCCTCCGCCTTGCCTGCCTGGTTCGCTTGCATTACGCCTCGACCCTTTTTCTTTCTTTCTTTCTTTCTTTCCTTCTTTTTTTCCTTCTTTCCCTCACGTTTTTTCTCTTTCTCGCTCTTACTCGTCGCTGTCGATACGCCTCGCCTCTGTTGCTGCATGCTACTATTACTGTGCCTCTTTTACCTTTCTCTCTCTCTTTTTACCTCTTTATATTATTTTTTTTTATCTCTCTCTCTCTCTCGCGGCCGCGCGGGGCGGCTACATAATATATATGTATGTGCAAACGGACGTGCATATCGCCGAGTCCGGCTTTCTTTCCTCTCTCTACACTCGCGCTCTCGCTTGCTTATTATTAGCCTAGGTGTTTCTTCTTGGCTTTTGTGTCCAAGCAAGCAAGCTACCCAGTAAGAGAACACACGTCCATCCGTACATCCTCCAATGCACTCGAGTCCGGTGTATACTCTAGCTTGGCATACCCAGTTACAGCTGGCTCCTCTAGCGTCTGTATAAACAACGTTTTGGAGTCAGGAGAAATGCACTGTTCCTTCTGGTAGGATACCCATGAACTTTTTTTTAATTCGTCAGTTTGTATCAAAACCATTTGTCCAGTTCATCATTTACTCAATCTTGTTATGTACACATTGTACATTTGACATCAAACAGCTTGGAGTATTGTCACTGCGACTGTTGCTGCTGAGTGTGCTTCCTACAGAAACGATTAAAGTGTGCACACTGCTGTAAAAAATACCATTAGAAGATTACTTAGTACATATGGGGTTGGAAATAATCTGACTTGTATTTGTAACAAAAAATAGTTTGGAAGAAGCTGGACAGTAATTTAATAGCTTCAAGCAATCATTGAACAGTTATCTGTTGCAAAATTTAAGTGACAAACAATAAATTGGCTTTTTGTTTTTATGACAAAATATTCTGTCTCATACTCCCTACAACAAAACGAGTGTGCTTGACGTTCTTGCGGATGTTTTTACAAAACTCAGTCAATTTATCGTGTAAAATTCTATTGAGATAACTTACAAACCTAAAGTGTAAAGTTATTGTTAAATTGAAGATATTTTCAATGCTACTATTACTGCTATAAATAGTAAAATAACTACACTAAAAGTAGGTCAAATTATTTCCAACACCATGTTGTAAAACTACTAGAGTAATCACATTACCATCTCAATGGTATTTTCACGTAATCGAATAGCGTGCAAAATAATGTAAATTGTAGTAACTGTACAAATTTACTTTTTATAATTAAATGTGCGTGCGTTAGAAAACTAAATTCGAGGAAACGTGACTGTTGACTTGTTTTTTGACTTTGTAAATACTTACAACTCCAAAGTCACCAATGGCCGTTACTCTGTTGCAGCTGATCGAGCTTTTCTTGGTGAAAAGCGTCACTCTAGTGGTCACTGATCGCAACGACAAGTCGACAAAGTCGAGCTGTTCGCCTGGCACCACTGCTAGTACTCCCACAACTCCAGCAAGCGTCACCGCGTCGACGCTCAGGTCCAGATGGGCCGACACGAGCGGAGGCAGCGGGGGCCCACCCTCGCTCATGAGCCTCGAGGCGCCGACGCCGACAACGCCAACGACACCTTACCGCAGTGTTGAGGGGCCCCTGTCCAACTCAACAAACCAACGAGGCTCTGCTACCCAGAGATCGGTATGTACACTGCTTTCATTTTTTTTTTTTTTTTTTTTTTTTTTTTTTTTTTTTTTTTTATACCCATTTCAAGTGGAGTGAATGTTTGCGTATGAACGAAAGAGAGAGAGATAGAGAGAAACTGAGATACACATTCAGCAATATTAGTTGCTGATCTTGTGCTGACTTTGCGTTTTTGCAGAAGTCCCGGGCAGATGCAATGTTGGAGCGGGCTCTGACACAGCCGCAACAGTGTTCAGTAGATCCGCTCAACAACGCCCAAAAGTGGGCCATACCCATTTGGACGATTCACGAGTTTTATTCTTGGTTCGGCAAAGTTGAGAAAGCGGCGAAAAGCCCGCTCGAGACCAAGCAAAGTGGCACCAGCAAGCAAGTTAAGGTCAAACATTTGAAGGAGCCGTTCATCAAGTTTGAATCCTATCGCAGGTAATTATCGGCCTTGCGCTGTTATTCGTATGAAAATTTTTAATTTTAAACGTTGATTTTTTTCACGCAGGGAAACTCGGCCTGTCTTTGTTGAACTAAAATCCTGGCCTACCCTGAACTTTGATGGTGAGCCGGGTAGTTGTCCGTTTGACCTAAAGCGCAGAGAAAAAAAAGAGGTTCTTTGCGCCAACAAAGAGATCAAAGAAAATAGAGAAAAGTGCTTTAATCCCGACTTATCAAAGGTAAATATTGCATCATCAAGATTATACGATGATTAATGACGACATAATATGACCAGAATTTTCTTTCCTTTTAGGGCAAAGACATGACTCGCAGGCCTTGCGCCACAGCAACACGCGCTCGCAAAACGGAAAATACTGGCCACTGCGAAATCTGCCGTATTGATTACAAAAATTTGTCCAAACATCTGCAAACTGACCAACATCTCAACTTTGTGCGTAATGATAAAAACTTTTTATCTCTGGACAATCTGATAAGTACGGGAGCGAGCGTCGAAGCCTTTCTCAAAATCAACATATCGAAAGATGTCAGGTAAAAATAAAAAAAATAAAAAATGTCTTAAAATCTTTACGGGAATTTCTACGACTACAATTTTTGGGTGTTAAAATATTGAGAATCTATTGAGATAAAACTACAAAGAACTGAACCCGTTAATGAAAAGTATTTATTGAGAGTACAAAACACTTGCCACAAGCTTACATAAAGCAGTTGAGCTTAACTCAGTATAAAAATAAAATGATTGTACTGTACCAATAGGCTTGAAACTTTTTGATTTGTGATGAATAAGTTTAATATGTTAGTGTAAGAAAATCTCCTTAAAAGGTTAAATAAAGTTGGAAGAAAAAAAAATTAAAAATTGAAAGAGATACTCTTACTTGTCATATTCATATTTATTTAATTTTAAACATGATACATATTGTTATAGTAAGATTTTATATCATTTACGCTATTTTTTTAAGTCAAGCAGCAACTTTGAAAATGATTTTTAATTAGTGGGACTATTCAGCTTATTAAATACGTGAATTTCCTCGTACCTGTTCAAATTTCAACCACGTGTAGAATAGAAAAACAAGCCAAAATATATTCCCGTGTGTACTACAGTAGTCCAATGTATGATGTCACAGACGCGTTCGTGCATTTGTAGCAGCACAATACAATTCGACTGCACATAAAAGTATACGTTTGAATCGACACACACGAAAGGAACTACAATTCCACCATTTCCTCCTTCTCCAATTGCTTTTGTCAATACATATGCAAGCTTTACTTCAATTGTGCACGAACACATCACATAAAAATATAAACTCACACCAATACATTAACAAGGACGGCACGTTCTCAATTGCCAAGGTATGAAAATGTTTTATTTCGACTTTCAGAAACATTGTAGCCAGTCACTGATAAACCATGGTTTCACTTAATATGTTCCGTCTTACGTTGAAATTAGCGGAAATCAGGGTAGATGTGTCATCTCGTGAAACTGGTTTTCCCGCGTATTTCGTATTTGTCATACCAAAGTTGCCATCACCGCGTACTTATTGATACATCAGTTATATATGACTGTTGTTTGTGCAAGTTGGGTATATGGGCGAGCAAAATCACTGGTTGAGCTTAGCACGCTCAGTTCCCCTGCTCTGTTACGCGCACTCTTCCCGCTGAGTGCATTGACCTCGCCCATCACACACATAGGCCCGCCCTTGACCGGGTTCAAGCCGCGCACGAAACCACAAACAATTATACATACGTCACCGATGGGGTGGACATCCAAGTGATTCCTTCTTCTCGCAATTTTTTTTATTCGTTGAAAACAAACTTTGTACAATAGTCACGTTCAATAATAAAAATGCACATGCACTTACTCGTCGCAACATACAACACGTTGCTCTTTTACTCATCGCAACAGAACACACTTAGCAAAGGAAGAATGAAGAAAACATAGGGTCTTTGAGCGTCTTTATTGGGGTTTTATTGGGTCTGTGGCACATCAGATACATTGAAACAGTGAAACGCACAACACTGAGTACGTTAGCAGGAAATGGTTGATTCACTTTGAAAATAAGGTACAGTTTGACGCCACGATATCTAACTTCAGGTATAAACTCACAGTGACACAGAGCAGGCCAGCACTATGTTTATAGATTCAACAAAGGGGTTCTGAAGCGCATATAAAGAATACAAACGCTTATCCGATAACTCCATCAAGTGGCCAATAGTAATGTATTTATTTTTATTTCGCAGCAAAGACTGCAGTCTGTTCTCCAGTCGGGATAGCAGCCTCGAGAATGGTCTCTCACTGCCAGACGAAAAGTGGGGAAAAAAAGACAAATCTAGTTTAAGCGAGTATAGTGTCGAAGACATAAGGATGATGCAGTGCAATGGTGCTAGGAAAAATTCAAAGCTTGATTCTGCGCACAACCTGAGGACGAGGGCCAAACACGAAAGTGGTCATTTACTGAGGTCCAAGGGAAAACCACTCGATGAAAATGCGAAAAGTGATAAGCCCAGTGAAAAGTTCATCATCACTAAACGTGCGAAAGGGACTATATGGATAGAGGAGGATGACTCCGAAACCGAAAAAGATGAAAATGAACTAGTGAATTACGATGGAAAGCCGCTGTTTAGTAAAACTTGTGAATCAGAATCGAAGAGCAATGAAAGTGATAGTGAAGATCCAAAAAATGTCTCGTTAAACGGTGTTATTAATATTGAAACTGTTGAATGTAAATATGTAGGTAGTAGTCATAGTAAAGTTACTAATAAAGACAGTGCATTTAAAGACTCTCTTTTGGATGCCAGTGTAAAGACTAAAGTCAATGGCTATGAAGAAAAAGACAAAGCCACTCAACCCGTGGAAGTTGTTGATGGTGCTGATTGTAACGTTAAAAAAGATGTGAATAATGTAGATGAGCACATAGACTCGATAAGTAACGCGGTCAACAGTGTTAATAATAATGAAAAAGTGTTAGCTCTTGACAATGAGGATACTAATTCTGTTAAAAGTTTGAACAAAGACGATCGAGGAAGGTTCAAAGTTGCAAAAAGAGGCGGCAGAACATACAGAGGTCGGCAAAGATTATCAGTTGAAGAGAGATTGATAGAGGATAATAGGGATTATTATAAAGTTGAGGTTTTGGGTAATAAACTGAGATCTAGTGCAATTCCAATTAGTAACCAATTAGCGGTGTCACCCTCGAAAGAAAATCAAACTGAGCAAGCAAAGCCAGAAGAAGGAGACAAACCATCAAGTGAGAAACCAGTTGTGGTGCGTTTCAAACGCGTGAGAAAATCGGAATTGTCTTTGCTGAGTGTCGAAGCAGAATCTTTTATGTTTGGAGACCCAAGGCGCGATGACAATTTCAGTGACGAAAGTGATGGTGAACAAAGTAGTATTTTACCTAAAGACACTGAAAGCGATGGGGAAGAAGCTGTGGATTCTATAGTATTGAGCTCTTCGCAAGAGAGCAACATTACTCCAAAGCAAGAATTCATTGAAGATGATTCTCAAGATTCACCAGCTTCCAAGGCTAGGAAAAAGAGGAGGACTCAGACTGAAGCTTTGTTGAAGGACAACACTGATTATTACAAATTTGAAACACCCGGAAGTAGATTACGGTAAATTTGAGTCTTTTCCCTATTTATCTACAATAAGTACGTACTTTTTGAGGAAGCTGCAGCGATTTTTGTTGATAATTGAGATCTTTGAAACAAGAGTACATTTCGAAAGTTACAATATCGCATTTTTATTTTACTTGACAGTTACTTTTTATCCCGCTCGTATGTACAACTCATTTGCAATTTCTTAGACACAATAACTGTTATCGAAATCATTAACCACCATTTACATATTTTTCTTCTTTTTTTTTTTTTTTTTTCTTCAATTCATTTGATCGACATGGCTAACTGTGACTGTCAATAAGGGAAATCTATAACCCAATCAAATTCATATTGTTAAATTTTACGGAAAACAAACTTATAAACAATATGCAGTAATGTTGTATAAATTGGTTTAATTGTTTTTTCCAGATACCAAGCTCCTTTGACTGGCATCTGCGATCCAGAATTGGATGGGGGAGATCCAGAGCTGGACCCGAATTCAAGTATTGTTCCAATTAAGGAAAAAATCTACCCGTCCAAGCCCTCAGCAGAGGTCGAAAAGATGCACTACTCCTTTGAAGCCGTGCCGAAATCCGAACCTTGGTATCGCACCTACGAGCGTCAAGACAAAGGCGATGAATATTATTACAGCGAGAGCGACTCGCTGAAGCCATTTCTGCTGCCGTACGAAATCGAAAACTTCCACGAGATATTGCAAAAAAATCTCGCCCAGAGCGGAGCTCATCGTAAACGCGGTCGAAATCGGGGCGGACACCTGAACATGGGAGTTCGATCACCGCGCAAAAGTCCGCGATGCCATGCGTCTACTTTGGCCATCATGTCGACGATCATTAGAAGGAGAGAGCAACAGACTACGACGTTGAATACAATCGATGAGGAGGGCAAGAAGGCCAATAACGAAACTGCCAAACCCGATAAAAAATCTTCCGAAAAGTCTGATGTTGACGAGGATCTGAAACAGCTGGCCCAGAACATCGATAACATGCTCAGCGACGGAGTGGACGAACTGGAACAGCTTGTTGCGGATCAGCCGAAAAATATCGAAGAGAGTATTCTGCCCGAGGCTCGTCAGAAAGGAGCTCCGGCTGATCTCCTGGAGATACTAGAACACGTTGGAACGCTAAATGGTTTCGAGAACTCGTCGTGTGCTAGTTCTGAGTGTGGGGAGTTGAGGGGAGACTCTTTGCTGAAAACGCGAAAGAAGAAGAAGAGGAAAAATAAGACTGGCTGGCCGGGTAACAAGATGCGGAGGAAAATGCACATCAAAAATTTGACCGAGGAACTGCAAAAGGAACTTCAAAAGGAGCTGCAGATAAAGGAATCGGATTTCGAGAATAGATCCGTGGAAGAGGCAGAAGAGAGTAAGCCTTCGAACGATGAGCGGGAGGAAGAGGAGGAGGATGAGGAGGTGACGCAAGAGACACAGTCGTTGCCTGAGGAAGAAATTTACGAGAGCGAGCAAGAAACGGGCAAGGAAAACGAGCCAGTTCTTAATTTACCGGTTGAAAAGGAAGACAATGAAAGTAGGGAGAGTATAGAGTACAAAGACATTAGTCAGGAGGCCAGTGGAACGGAGGAAGTGGATGACAAATCTGTACTGAAACAAGTTTCAAGTGAAGAAGTGACTCCGCGGAAAAAGCGCACTGAGAGCCCTGACAAGTGCATAGTCAAAGAGGTCGAGATCGAATCTCAGGCGGTGAAAGATTTGAGGTACGCGGAAAACAAAAGCCTAGCGTCGAGCGAAGACTCCGAGGCTTCTCTATCGAACAACGAGAATCTATGCTCAAAGGACACGAACGCGTTAGTGCCTCACGAGAAACGTTCGCCCGTCAAGTTCAAGCGAAAACGCCAGCGGAAAAACACGACTTCCTCGGAGACGTCTAACCACGTCGAGGTTGAGAACCGACGTCAAAGCAGTGTTACCTCGTCGTCGAAGAAACAAAAGCAGGATAGCAATGAAACTCGCGAGCTGACACTGAGCACCGGCAGCAGAAGTAAAAAGATGGTAAAGAAACTGAAGCACAACGACAAGACTTTGAGTAACGAGAACTGCAAAGAGGATTTTTTATCCGTAAACGAAAGGCGGAGGCCCAAAAGGCCGCGAAAAAAAGACAGTCTCGCGTCCGAGCTGCAAAACGGTGAGTTTGAACAGTCGGGTCGAGTCTCGCCGTCGTCGGATGTCGATCAGAGGCGATCAAGTATCGACTTTCAACCCGTCGTCAGGGTCATGAAAATCGATCACTCGGTCGACATGGACAACAGTAGTGTACTGTCTGTGACAGTGGCGAGCAATCGGCGCTTGAGAAGCTCGGCATCGTCGCCCAAGTCTAACATGCAGCCGCCAAAGAAGCGATTTAAAAACACTTCCAGTAGGCGGTACATATCAGGACTTGGCATGAAGAATAGTTGAAAAAGGAGGATAAGCGTGTAAATTTTTTTTTTTTTTTTTTTTTTTTTTTTTTTTTTTTTTTATAACCTTGAAAAACTTTTTTTTACTTGCGAATTTTCAGTGAGCTTCCAGACTGTCAATTTTCGCGAAAATGAACTGTCGCAGCTCATTTTGTACATTCTGTACAGACGGTATTCGTGTATGTGTAGTATTTAAAATCTTAAAGGCACTTAGGAATTTATTAATTTTACGATTATATAAAAAATGTTATTATAATTATTATTTTTACTGTAACATCGTAGTAGATCTCTGCTACTACCAATATTTGTACATTCTTATGATGAGATCTTTGAGGTCTTGTCACATTTGTTTATTACTATTTTAATAAGCATGAAAAAAGATGTTCCTCTTCATTCAAATGATTCGATTAAAACCTACAGTTCGTGTACAAAATTCAAATTCGAAACTTATAAACTTTAAATGCAACGAGTGCAGGGTTTTCAATTTAACCTAGACGAGGAAAACTGAAAACTAATAATCTATTTCTCGTATTTTTTTATTGTATGTACATCAACCTTTTTTTTATACAACACAAAAGATACATTTTTTAAGTTGACGCAATAATTCATCAGTAATACTTGAACAATGTTTGTTTTTTTTAGAACATGCAAGACTGCAAACACAGCTTTATCATAGATTAAAACTTTCGTTGTGAGAAAAAAATGCGTGAAAAGTACAACATCTTGCATCAATTAAATTTGTTTGTATGAGCGACTATCCGAGTTTGCGTGTATCATCAGCGATATGTGAAAAGAAATGTTTGTCTATAATGCAGTACCAAATTAAGTTTCTACATTCAAGAAGAGAAAGACTCGTGAAAATTTTATTTAAAAAAATATTGTAAATCTGTCAATAATGCAAAAGTGATTGAATATTAAAAATGAAAAAAACTGAATTTTCAATACAAATAAAATACTTTTTATTCGTCTCCCTATACAAAATACTTAATCTACGGCAATTTAACAGGCATTAGTTAATCCAATCCTTCTCTTTCGTTGAAGGCAGCCTTCATAAGAGCACGTTTCTTTTGTTTCTGTTCCTTTTCTTGCTTGTCTTTCTGCTCAAGCCTTTTTAGTTGATTTTGAACAGCATCCTCGCCATTATAATGCAAGTCCAGTTTATTTGTCAACCATTCAAGTGCGATTTCCTTGTTTTTAAACTGACTCCTCGTTTCGTGGCATTTCACAACAATACCCGTTGGTACGTGTTTCATAACAACCGCGTTACTTGTTTTATTTGTTGATTGACCACCTGGACCCCAACCTCTAACGTATTGTATCACAAGATCATCATTATTTACTTTGGGTACTTTTGAGTAGTTCAAAAACTTTTTATATGATTTCAAGTTTGGGCGAGTCACAGATAACTGACGGTTGAATGTCGGGCTTAACTGTTGGAAAACAAACTGTCGATAATATTTAAGAAACATTTTTTTAAACGACCCTTTTGCGTCTCAGTAGTGCCAGCCCCTTCTGTAAACAAAAGTGTAAGTTATATAAAAAAAATTTTTTTAATGATAATTTGAAATACGTAGCAGAAACTAAAGATAAACTAACGTACCTCATATTGAAAATTAATGTCCTTTTCATGTGTTAAATTCCTGTTATTTAAAAAAGCTCTTCTGACCCTGTGCACAAAGTATTTGGGATCTGTGTACTTTAAATTTTGACTATACCTTAGCAAACTCTTATACAAGCCCAGAATTTCATACTGATGCATTTTCACCATTTATTCCACAATCACGAAACTTGACGATTGAACAAATCAATTGAACAAACATCCGTGTTGTATATATTTCTAGAAACATATATTTGAGTGGCAAATATTATAGGTTATTGAAAAAAAAAATAAAGAGATTATTATGCTATGTGTTGTCTGCTATATTCTTTTTTTTGCTCCAAAATACTGCGCATGCGTAATAAAATTTTTTTTAACTTTGAACTAGTTTAAACAATGTAACATTAATTGGATAATTTCAAAATAGTATTTTTTAATAATCATCCAATATTTATTATTTCCTATTTTCAAAATATCAATGGATAAATGATAAAATAAAATATTATCTGAAACCATCAGTGAAATATATATATTTAAGAATGGGGTTCCTTTACTACCGACCGCAAAACTTATCAACAGCGAACAGCTGATGGTTTAACCTGAAAAATAAACAATGAAAAATAGTCATAAGCCTCGTACTGACAGACAACATATTTTGTGCGCAACTGTACAAGATTTATGGTATTTTCTATTATTGCCGTATAGTATTTATAATATATTTTGCATATAATATGCACACATACAGTGTTTTTACACTATACGTCCATGGATGATTAACATCGCACATATATACCTATAGGTAATTCGTTTCTGTTCTTCGGTCTTTGGTCGGCTCGATCGATATCAGCCCTTAAAATTCTCTGTGTCAAAGGTATACCTATATGTACATCTATACTCGCTTTAAAACACCCTTGCTCGTAATTTGTTCCCCTTCAATTTTAAAAGAAGTCATTGGATCCGCGTGACAACAGCAATTTGATTATTTCAAGAAAGGCGAAGAAGAAAAAAAAACAACACCCGTAACATTGGTAGCTGAAAAGTCTTTAATTCTTCGAGCTGTGAAGCGTGTAAATTAAGTAGTGATCGTTGGTGAGTACACTTAAGGCATTTCTTTTTTTTCTTTTTGTGCATGTTTGAATAACCATGTATTACGTGAACTTCGGGCGTATAATGCGTGCTACGTAACGATTTAATGTATACAAAAGCGAAGGGAAGAAACAACGTGTAGCGCGCGGTTACTTATGTGCACATGAAACACACAACTCATCAGGAAGAGCAGATGAAAAACGCATGTAAACAACATAAATACTTGGATGTAGATATATAATTATACGCACACACGCAGCAGCAGCTAATCCTGCGTAAAAGAAAAAAGCGAGATCACGAGGGGTGACAGGGGAAGTTGACTTTTTTATACATTTATATTCTTTGCCGGCGGCCATCTTGTTTGATTTTCGGAGTCGGAGCATGCGCAACGCAGTCGTATCTATACGACGTATAGTGACGTATAGCTGAAGGTTGGTGAAAACTCGTGCAGCCAACTTCGCAGTCTTCGCACCCAGTCGAGGAGCTACAGCCGAGCTAGCAGGTGATAATTTTTTTTGTGTAGTCATTTGGGGACCGATAGAGTTCACGTGAGAGTGTGTGCGTTTGAGAGTTGAGGGGCTTGCTCTCGTTGGTTGCGAGGAGCCTGTCTTTATGTTTTATTTATAAAATATACAGTACCAATTCAGTGCGTAACGTGTGCTCGTTTATATACCATTCGCAACGACTTTATCATCGTCATCAGCCTTTTCGTTGGAATCAAAGTATAAAAAACGGTATACAACCCAAGGAGGAGGAAGTGTGGGAAATCTTCCGTGTGTTGACGAGTGAGTAGTTAAAAACACATTGTCGTGGTTTTAGATATACTCATCGAGAGATCAATAATATAACGTTTTGCGTTTGCGTAAGCAAAAAGAGGAGAGGTTGGTATAAACCTATACATGATACATGTGTAGGTGTATTGTTCGAATAATGTTTCGTTTTGGTCAAAAATCGGTGTCGTGCATCCGTACAAGTACGTATAAATATGTACGTACACCTAAACAACTCGACAATGACCATTTTTTTGCGCTGCCTTAATTGGAGGCGACGACAACGCCAGTAAGGAAGACGAGGAGGAGTGTAGGCACTTGGGGGCACTCTCGATGAGTGGCGCTTTGTTTCTTTCCTATCCTATATATCTTATCCGTCTTGCTCTCTTTCTCGCACAATTTCCCGTGTATTGTGTACACAGTATATGCACGTATACTTTTGCATAATACACTCGGAGTCGTGTACTCGAGAACCAGAAGAGGCGAACTGTAGGTGGTGTATAGAAGAGAAGGCTCGGGCAATTGTCCGTGTTGAACGTCGATAAAAGAGCATAATTACGTTACCCCAATCATACAATTTAATACTGTAGATACCTACGCCTCTGTACGGTCAGTTGTACTTGGTATGATAATGATAATGTATGCAAAGGTAGGTAGGTCGAGTTACGGTAGATTTGTAATCGTGATATCATTGTCGGAGAAACGGTGACTTGAATTTCCGCGACACCATACTACATATAGTAACTCTTTATTCGACGGAGAAACTGTAGAAACACTGCACGACGTATATTGGTATTAATTGCGTCAAATGTTTTTTTTTGCTTTTCTATAATCAATTCACAGTCGTGTTTTGCTTGGTCTCGGACAGCTCCGGTTTGTCGGGAGATAAAGCGGAAAAGATCAGCTTGGATGTTCGGTTGACATGCTCAAGAATTTTTTCGTTTCACGTTGTATACATTCGACGCACGCAGAGCGCGAAAAACCTCAACAGTTACGTCTTTAGAGCATTTTGCGATAATGTGCTGCGAATACATAGTTTGTGGATGTACCTTTTTTCTAATACTGATCGAAAAAAGTCCGTTCATTTCGTCCCACAAAATACCGTTTCAATTCAACGATCGTATACAGCATTTGCGCGATGCGTCGCATGCCAAGTTTTGTTTCTCGCTCTTTCCAGAAAAAGAGAAGAAGAGGGAAAAAAAGGAGAGATTCTCCTCTCTCCACCCGAGAATGTAGGATACCTACAGCGAAAATTCCCAGTTAGGCTGTGCGCTGATTCAGCCCGTCAGTGTCTGTGTACGTCTTCTGTGTCCGTTAGCGCGAGCCGATCTCTCGGCGTTGCGAGCAGCGAGAGTTGCGAAATTGATCGGTGTGTGTAGGATAGACGCAGAAATTGGGAAACGCGCGCGCCTGTTATACCTTTCGGTATACGTAACAGCTGCCACGAAGCGGCAGGTGGTTTGCAACACATATTCTCCCAAACCACAGTCGTTGTTGAAAAAAACTATCAAATCGAAATAATCATGAGCGTACGACTGATAAGCATGACGAAAATTAAAAAAAAAAAAAACACGTGCTCGTCTGAGATTAAATATAAATCAGAGAATCTAGAATTTTCGTTGGCCGGGTGTATGAGTGATGAAATATATTAAGTGCTCGCTGCTTCGATTAATTTGGTTTACTGTATCAAGCATTACTACTTAGAATGTGTTTGTCGTGTTTGTTGGACGGTTGGATCGATCGTCAGTTGTATAGAGCAGAAAATTACCCTAATATCTGCCGCGCTGTCTCTAAAGTATATATAAGTAGGTATATTCGAGTATATAATACGTACCTAGAAATTTCTAGAACCACATGTTGATAACTGTGCCCTGCTTCAACTGCCGAATTTCAACGATTTCGAGTAAATTTACTTATTTCCCCGTTTTTATTGTGCTGACTTGGATTTGTACACCAAAAAAACCTTTTTTCATTCTTTTTTTTCTCTCTTAGTATGTAAGTACAGTTTTACTAACCTGTACTGTGAGATAAATGCTGTGAACTCGTGTGTATTTCTATTTATGTACTATTGCAAATCACAACGTAAGTTGATAATAGCGTGTTAGATAGTTGTCACATATAATTGAATCAAATAACAGTTGTTCCTTGAACGTAATAACAATATACCAGCAGTTTACGTGTGCATTATATCAAGGTAAAAGTTTCGAGAACAGTTTGCACACAGCAGCATTGCTCCAGACATCACAACGTTGTTAAATTAAAGTGGGGGGGGGGGAGGGAATAAAATCACAGTCTTGTCATTGTACTAATAACTTAATAATAGTGTATACCCTAACATCATTGCGCAAAACATTACATAAACAAACAATTCCCTTCGAAGCTCTTTGGGGACGGACAACGCCTATACTAGTGTACATGTATACTCATATAATATGTGTGTATACACAGCCATGTGTTCAGTTACTTTGCGTAACTCGCGTGTATTTATGAAGATTGAGAATGCTTCCGTCCTCCCGTGTTTACTCTTGCGTATCGATGGATACTTATTTTCCACCCATGATTGTGTATATTATGTGCAAAGTACTACCTCCCCCCCCCACTTGAGTGATTGCGCCAGCTGTCAATGCTTACTAACAAAATAAGGTAAAATAAAACGCTGCTGGATGACTTTTCTATTAGCCCAAAAACATATAGATGATATGATAAGTCTAGTCTAGTTACAATTAAGCTTCCGAGTACCATAATATTATGTATGGGATGCTGCTTACTTTTCATACTTAGGTGGTGTGACTTTAGATTTTTACAAGTGTTATTTTGTCAATAAGAGAAATTTTTTCTAAAAGCAAGTACTTAATTTTGTTTCAACTTATTGAATAACATCAATCATCGTGCCATAAAAGTCCCTGGAGTGATAGCGGCACATTTTGCCCCATGTTGTGCTTAACATGTCTAAAAGTTTCAAGTCGTTCGTTTATTTTCAATTGTCACATTGTTTTTGTATGGCGTTTAGTCTGTGTAACACGCAGTTGGTAACAAGGTTACGTGAACGGGAACGCGTCACACCAGTACTTACGCCGTTGTTTTTGTGCATGCATTTTTAAGTAGTACAATTTTGAACTGTATGTCGACGGCACTATATGTACATACAACACAACAGCGAGTTTCATAAATTATGTATTTTGTCGAAACGAGCAGAGCAACAACAAAAAATTCGACTTTCTTTCCTCGTGACAGGTTTAATATCTTACGAAATCATCCGTCGGTGCAACGTTTGATAACTTGAATATGTATTTGTTTTCTCCATGCACAAAACAAGCAAAATGTGGAGAGAGAGAAAGTATTCGCGGTTGTGCATGCACATCTTGGTGCATTATTGTATATGCGATGCAGTAGAAAATTAAATTAAATTAGCCCATCCAAAGTGCTAAGTTGATACAATAGTTGATTTTATGTGTATATTGTTTACGCATATGTTTCCTACGTAATTTTGTTCGAGATTATCAAACCAATGCGTACATTTGCAAAAGCCAATATATAACGAGCTGCGTAGTTCAACGATAAGTTTTTCCGACATTAACTTCAATGCCAACTGTATGATAGTTTCGAAAATGAGGGCGGTCTTCGGAAAATTACCGCCAATTTCACCATATCGCGCAACATTTTCGCTACAGTTTACCAAACGATGAACTTAATTTTCACTCGCGCACTTAAAAAAATATCGGAAAGTAAAGGCAAAGACGCCGTCAGTGTATAAGAATCCGGTCACACGCTTAACAACTATCCCCCCGATTATCCCACGAGCAGTGGCGTTGAAAGAAAAAAAAAAACCTTGCGTTTCAGTTCTTATTCGTGGCCTTATTTGCGCGACTTTCGCGCTAATCCCGTTCGTTGGTGAATTTTTACAGCGAGGCAGAAAAAAGGTGTATACAATAACAAAAATTTCCCGCGTACAGTTATCTAAAGGACTTATGGTTCGTTTAAATGCAATCCAATTGCTAATAGACTAAAACCTTAATACTTGAATCTCAACGAAGTCTAGTTTATTGAAATACTTCGTAAACAGTCATTATACAATATATTTAATTACTTTGGTAACTTCTGGAACAAATGAAAGTTCTGTAACCATTTATAATCCATAATTTATCATTTTACAGATAGATAAAAAAGCCGGACATTTTTTCGTTTACAGAAAATGTTTCACTTGAGGTTATTTTTACTTTGCACGAAAAGCACTGCAGTAAAACATTTGTTGATTTAAATATCATGTTTCATTGCATTAACGTTTCAAAGAGTGGAATTTAATAATCAATATCACAGTGTTCATCCTGTCGCGGGAAAAATCAGATTTTTGCTGGTGCTAGTTCAAAGATTTAGAAAACATTGTAATCAGTCAAATTTAGAAAAACATATAGAGTTCAACTCTTTTAAAAAGATATGTTTATTTACGTTAGTTTAGATGTTGTTTATCTTATTCATTATCAGTTAGCAGTAATTTAACCATTATGTGATTCCTTAACTTTTGCCATTCTGTTCGCAATTAACTTTTTTGCTCGCTTTTTTGTAATAAAATCTGTGTGGCTCTGTCTGACGGTTATAAGATAACGTGTCTAACTAATCGTTTGGTATATCCAGTAGATCACGTGACTTGATTATTCGAATGAGGAACAGCTCATGTTTCCAGTAAAATTACCCTAACCCTATACATGGCAGAGTTACTCGAGACACCAAACGAACATCCCCCTGGGTCTATTGGGATTTGAACTTTGCTGAAGCGCCCATTACCAATGTAAATTTATATAAAGGGACAAATTTTGGATGTTGAGAAAAAATACTTTTCTATGGTTTTCTAACATTAGCGCCATCCTTATACATTGTAGAGGGCGTTCGAAGCTGATGACAGGGTAGGCTCTTTTGAGTACAAATCCCAATTTGGAAAATAAATTGCCAAATTATGTGAGAGGTCGATAGCACCGCCGCCCCCGTTTTGAAACGGATGGAGTTATGTTTTGTGTTCCAGGGGTGTAAACAACGTTAAACGGCTGGTTCGATGAAAATTCAAAATTGGCTTTTAAAATTGTTTATACATCCGTATCGAACCAGCTGTTGAACGGTATCTACACACATTTGGAAATTCATGAATAGACCCAGTAATATTCTTACAAACGTGAAAGTGCACATTGATGTTAAAAGCTGGCAGTGTTGGGTCTACAAATGTGCAAGGAAAGACGAAAAGGGAGTGGGGTAGGTATATATACTCATACATACCACGGGAGGAACCCGTTTTTCCACTCTCCGATGTGCGGGGAACATGCCGCGTTTTTCTCGAGCCGCACCGGCTCTGCATCGCATCGCGCTGCTGCCCAGTACATATGGCGGCCTTGAACCGCGAGCACCCGGTCATCGCGTCGCAGTTTACCATTATAGGTGATCAGTATACACGCAAGATAGTCAAGCTGCAGGCCAACGCGCCATTTGTGCCCTTACGTGCAGCTTGAGAGATAATAATAATTCAGTCGCGACCCGGATGTACGACACCGATTCAGGTTTGAGGGGAGGGGGGTGATAATGTGTATGGACACGTGCTAGAAACAAAGCCAGGTCGATTGGTTTTGCGGCTACCGAGTACCCTTTATTGCTCTAGGGGCAACTAGAGCTCTAATTTTTATTCAACTGTTTGGCCTTTATATCGGAGGAGGGGCGTGAATTTAGGTGGCATGGTTGTTGATATATAATACAAGGGTTTGCCGTAAAAAAAAACACCAGTTGAGTCGAGTCGAAAAAAGTTAACGTAACTTTTTATTTTTCACTACTTATCGGGTGATGAAACTCACGTAACTAATCATTTCTAAAAACACGTGTTTTTGAATTAATTTGAATATAGATATGTTAGATGTATACATATTTATCTATATCGTCATAATTGTGTGCTTTGACGACAGTAACGCTTGAATTTTTCTTTTTTTTTCACGCTAGATCTATTATTGTACACTACTTATCAAAAGACAAGGTAATTTTTAAAAATCGACTGGGTATTTTTGTTTTTTAATGTTTAGTTTTAAAAATATAAAAGCAACGCGTGTCGAAAATTTTTTAGGCACTTACTATCAAGCGATAGTCAATAAATATAACTATATGTTTGTACTGTACAACAAAACGAAGTTTTGTACCAGCAAAATCCTTTTGATAAATCAATACCGAAGAAAAGCATAAAATTCACCACAAAATCAGTAGCCAAAAGGTAAACGCCTGTCAATTCCATTAGCACCATCGGATATTTATCACCCCCTCCCCGATCAATATTGCGTGATTCACGCCGTTTCGCCGCTACGTTAATCTTTCCGCGTGTGCCTAAAGGCTACGAAGTAAATTCTCGATAAAACTGCTAAACTTTCTCAGTGCAACGCGATACTTTCTATCCGCGCGTAATGGACCGATCGCATTTTGGGACTGTAGGTATTGTAGTGTAGTGGATCATTCATGACTGAATCGACCAATCTAAGTCACTTCCTCCTCCTCCGAGGAAGTGTTCCGGTGAGCTGGCTGTGATTTCAGTTATTTATCACGGATTTTATTAGTCATTCGACTATTATGACTGTTTCACAACAAGTGCTTTAAATTAGTCATTTATTTTGCGTATTACGTTGATTTTAATTTCCTATATTGTATACTATAATGTATGGTGATCGAATGAAATGCTCAACTTTTTAAGTAAAAGAAATGCTTATTAGATTACGGTGAAATAATATAGGTGTAGTTATTACTATTATTCGCTGGTGTTCCCCCGAAAAAGAAAGAAGGATTGTGTCCGTTTGTGAGTCATTCGTTTCGTTTCCACTCTCTTGTCCGTACACTTACTCACCCACTACGTCGATACATGTCTCCCTGTCTCTGTAGATACTTGAACCCAATACTGTTGCAATTTTTTAACACATAACTGTACGCATCGTCATTGTTTTTTGTCGTCTCATCAAGCAAACAAGCGCGAATATCTTATTTAATAGTTTTTTTTTTTTTCATACAAAAAAAGAGACGATTTGTCGATCCAATTATGTAGTAGCAGTCCATTTCTTACCGTATACCATTTTTATCATTTAACATACATGCACAACACTGAAAATAAAGTACTTACTGTACGTGCTTTCGTCTTATCCAGCATATGAGTAATATTCGTAATATTATGTATGAACAGCAGCAAAGTGACAATTTTCAGTTATTTTATACATAAAGTGATCAGACTTTTGCATCATGTTTTTTTTTTTTTTTTTTTATACATCGGTCTATATGGAATCTTTTTTGTTGAGTAATTTTGAAGCTCTTAGTTGTGAAAACCACGGAAAACCAACTGTTCATCATATTTTTTTATGGTTTGAAAATTCAACAAGAAAATCCACGTGTATCTATTATTTGTAATAATTGCAACAAATTGAAATAAAAAAAAATAATATAAATAATATACATTCTACAAATTATTGAATGTAAAACTCCAATATATGAATGTCAACGTAACTCATTTATTTCTAACAGTCTTTATTGATAAACAAAATGTATTTATACCATATTTGACACACATAAATATACGACTAATTACTTTGTTTACTACTCAATGATGACCACAGCTTTGTAAATTACCGTAACCAAGTCGTAATACTTAGATAGTTCGATGGATTGGTCATTCCCAGTTTCGAAGATTCAGATTATTCATTGAGAATTTTAGTTTATTTATTCGCATCCTCCTTTGCGGACTATTTCTCAGACAATCAAATTCCTTGAAATTTTCGTAGATACAATATGAACGCAAGCTTCTTTTTCATTTCCATTCAAAACGTTGATTCCGAGCTTGAATTGGATTCTGAGTGGAAAATTTCTTGGATGTAGTTTTATGATAAGCGCCTGAAGTTCACATGAGAAATGAACAAAAGCTAAAGTGACCTTAACGTTAAAAAAAAAAAAAAAAAAAAAATTTCGACCAACCTGCACATTTGCATGGAGGTTTGTACTGCACGTGCTCTGCAAGCACAATTCGTGGGACGAGAAATGATACAAGAGATACGCGTTATGCGTATAAGTGAGCGTCCGTTATCCGGATATATACATTATGCCGTTTGTATAACGAGGAGGTGGCTCCATTTTTGTTTTTTTCCTCGTTTCATTTCAGACCCGAATTTCGCGAATTTACGGTATAATTCACACGGGCGGGACTTTCTTGTTTGAGATTTTAGTGAGTGGTGCCGCTGCATCGCGAACGAGAGCGGGGGGCGACGCCGAGAACGCGGAGGAGGATGAAAAGGGATGAGTCCCCATTTCTCGGTTTAGCCGTGGGATTGTATTTATTGTACTGTATATACGCGTGACACGAGATTTCGTCAGAAAAGCTCGGCTATACACCGCAAGAAGGTCAAGTTTGCACCGTCTTTTTTCTCCTTTCTCTTTCTCATCTCCCTACCGCGGCGGAGAAAGATGTCGAGGTGTGCGTCACGCTTGAGCCTTTTCGGTAACGCATGCACAGTTACTGTATACGACAAAGAGAAAAAAAAAAAAAAGGTATAATAGGTGGGGTCTTCAAGTTTTCTTTCTCGTTTCGCATCGCAAGTATTTCCAACCATCCAACTTGACTCTTGACGATCTGTTTAAGGAATTGAATTTGATTTTTACTGAAGCTT